TGGTTATAGTGGGTATCTGAACTTGGGTTGTGGTTTGTCGCGAGGCTTTTCTATCCGAATCACCCTCTTGTATTGCTTGCTGAGAAACTGAATTTAGATCAAACTTAATAAGTCTTAATTGCTGTGCTGTTGTATTACTTAGCAATTTACCGTATTGAGATGCTGTAATGTAAATTGTTGCCACTGTCATAAAATGTTTTGATTCTACTAGTGTCTCCACTTTGCCTAATGGGGGAATAGGGTTATTTTCTCCAAAAGCGCGAATCTTTGTGTAGGTTTTTTTAGGGATATTGGTTCTTTGCTTTTTCTTCTTAATTGTTCGAAATCCTCAGGACCCAAAACGTTAACAGACACACCACTGTCCACCATCATTTTCATCGGGACTCCATTAACACGGACCGTAGAATAGGGATGCTTACTTTGTTGTGCTTGTTGAGCCGTTCAAACGGTGGCATGGGCTGTAGATTTCCCGCGCTCGCCATGATGATCAAATACCTTCAAAAATACCGTATATGTCAGATTGTCCGCCGATTTTTTATCTCACGTTTGAATCTTCACTTCTCGCAAACACCCAAAATGAATCACTCGTTCTTTAATAGTAACAGGTAACGAAAATATTTACCCTCGTCGCTAATGTTATGTCTTTAAAATCGTTATTTATTTCAACGTCCCAAAATATAACCCTACACAAATGTGCTCCTTATACAATCATCCCGCACCCCCCTGATCCAATGTTATATATATACTTCATGTAACAACAACATAACAGATATCTTGGCCTTAGAGATTATACCAAGAAATTCCATCAGCTTACTTAACTATGTGGTAATGGACATCCATGAATTTGCTAGTAGTCATAATATGAAATTTAAGCCAGGGAAGTGTAAGGAGATGTTCATTAATTTTAAGCATGATCTTAACATTCTTGTTAACCCAATCATCATGGGGAACAAAGAAATAGCCGAATGTGTGTCAAATTATAAACTTCTGGGAGTCTATTTAAACGAAGACCTAAATTGGAATACCCACATAGACTACATATTCAAAAATGCTTGTAAAAGACTCTATTCGTTGCGAATTTTGCGAAGAGCTGGCGTTGTGTCATTGAGTATCTTAAAGGTTATCTAACTATTATTCGATCGGTCTTGGAGTATGCTGTCCCTGTGTGGCAATCAATACCAGGTATTCTGTCTGATAAACTTGAAACAATACAGAAAAGAGCCCTGAAAATAATTTTCCCTTCTGCTGTAACGTACCTAGAAGCTCTATAATTAGTTGGGATTGACAATCTAGCCGATAGGAGAATCATCATATGTAAAAAATACATGAGTAAAATGAAAAGAACAAATCATTCCTTACATGCGTTATTACCCAAAAGCACGGACAAAAACTGTAATTATGAGCTTAGATACAAAACCGAAGAAGTTTCCCTGTACCAAGATTTTAAGTTCTGCAGAACTAAAAAGACAGAAAGCTTTTTTACCTTCAAATATTATTAACATTTTAAAGCCTATTTTCACTATTTTCATTGCAAACATAAAGTTAGATTTTGTATAGATTATTTGGATAAAATTGTACTAGTTTTTTTTACATTATATCATATAGTTATACTATAATATTATAAGTACATAAACTCTGTAATTCAGTCATTGTAACTGCGAATTAAGAGATTCAATAAACCATAGGCCTAATAATTGTCCAAAGAATTGGTCTTCTTCACGTTCGCACTTCTTACACTATACTCATTCAGTCTTCAATCACGGCTCAGGGCCAGGCATGTAAATCACGTTTCACGACATGTACACAAAAATCCGTCATTCACGTACGAGAACAAACATTGACAATTTACGAATATACCCTTTACCACTCTCTGATAAGTCTTCAATGAACAATGTCAGTACACACTTGCACGCCAGTTGGCCAAGTTTCAATTTATTATCATTAAAATAACAAAACATATTACAAAGAAAAAGTAACCATGCATGCATTACATATATATAGCAATTATTACTCTGTAACATAACAATGCATGCATGCATGCATGCATGCACGCACGTATATTAATGACATGCAAACTAGTGGCGACAACCGTAAAGCTCGAGCCTCATTACAGGATAATTGCTCGAAGATTTTGGCAACACACGCAGGTACCGAGCACGAATAGGAGATTTGAATGAGTGGGTAACGATGGAACTTTGATCGGTGTTTCCTTGAAAAACCTAAATTAAAAAAGTCAGATGAGGTTTCAATAATTCATTCCACTCTGGTGCAGAGCTTCCTAGAACAGCTAGGCCTAAGCGGACAATTTTTTCTACACTTAAGGCCCGTTTACACTTGCAATTTTTGCTGCGATTTTCTTCTTCTAATGCATGTGCACGAGTGGATAAGTTATGAATATCCACAGGAGGGTATACATACTCAGAACATTCCCATGGAGCCTATTTTGTAACTAATTTTATGTAATATAGTGTATTGTGTTCAATAGCAAAATCTGTAAAAAAAAGTGTAAACGGGCCTCTATATTAATTTCTGAATCCGTGTTTTGTAAAATTTCACCATACAAGATTGATGCGCTGACTTACCTTTACATTCCCTGATTCTTCGTAAGGTGTCCATGAATTGGGTTCATTGCTGTATGAAACCGAGTACGACTTTGCCCATTCATTGGCGCTATAACATGATCCCTGGGTTGCTATTCCTGTCACTGTGGTGAGTTGTCCCAGATCAACCTGAAGCCACGAGCCGACTCTCCCTGCTGAACTAGGTGCCCAAGAGCAGCCAGAACCTGTCTTTGTCAATCTTGCATAGCTAGGTTTGTAAGTGCTGGCAACAGTAGATGACGCCGTGATTGCATCATCAGGTATTTTACCACTTGTCATTCCTAATGGTTTGGGATCTTTACATGAAGCTTGAATAAAATAGATAATTTGCCATTACACTGCAGAAATTTATGGCTCTATTTTTGGTGTTAATTATTACGTTCAGTATACGTTTTCTGTTTTCGTATGTATAAAGATCAGGCTTTTGGCTGTCAAATGACACCTTGATTGAATCATTGCGTTATATTGCGATAAAAATGACCAATTATCATCTCAGACTGATATTATCATCTTACACATGCAAATAAAGACTATACTAATACTTATTACTTCTATTGTTCAAACATAATGCTTCATATGCATCAACATATTGTTTAACCATATTTGCAATATCTCTGCAACACTGAGGGGGAAGTGTGTTTCCAGCACCGCATAATGTTTTGTTCGCTTCAATCTTCTCCTTCACTAGTGACTTTATCGAATCACAACAGATCGCTTCACCAAGAGTAGCCATCGCAAGAAAACCAACGAAAATCAGAAAAATCATTTTTGCCATTTTCATTTCGTTATTGTAACACGTTTGAAAGTTGGTACAACACTGCACAAAATTGACTTGCGTTTTCCTTTAAAACTTAAGCCACTCACGTCACGTGGACAAGTCTTAACCAATTAAATTTCATCGTGATATAGGACAAAAATCGTGGGCGTCACTTCATATGCCAAGCGGAACTTTTTTGCGGAACTTTTTTGCGGAACTTTTGCCGACATCAACTCTACTTATGAGACGCAAAGATGCGTAAATATTGGCAGGGTGCACAGTCCGTATGTCAACAAAGTTTCGGTATTCAAAATATTGAACTTTATTCGACAACTATTTATATTTTCATGCTTCTACAGTATAATAAATTATCAAGATACAACAATCAGGCTTTGCAAGAACATAAAATGAAATAAAAACCTAATTTATAAAGTGTTATATCACGGCAGGAAACTCCTATGTGCGCATGCGCAGACCGGACTGAACTCTATCTTTAATTAAGAAATTAAAATATCTTTGTAATGCGCACGATTGTCTGCTTTTGGGAATTTAAAGCAGCAACAGGTCAATGCTATGCTATGCTGACATTTTTAATTGGGAATTGTTTAATTAAACTTCATGGTGTGATGCATGCCTTCCATTGTGTGACATTCAGTGAACAGTGTTGAGTGCCATTTTCAGCATTTTGGAGCTATTTATCGTATTTTGGTGATTTTAAATCATTTTACACTTTAGTCACACCATTTTCTAAAACAATCAATGAAAATCAAACAGATATTATAGCTGGCCTGTGATTTAGTGTAGATTGTTGGATTTACAAGTGCGTTGATTGTGACAGTGCAGCATGGCGTTCTACAGTATTACCCAACTCACCATACAGGGGTGACCCCAAAAAACCAAAACCATTGAAATAACGTATTGTTAGAATTTGAATGCCCTAGCTCTAAGCTGAGCGCAAAGATGTGTAAAGTATTGACAGGGTGCATATATTGACTAATTTTTCACCCTGCTCGGTTTCCTTTGTTCTTGTCGGGGAATATATTCAATATCCCCCTCTAATCAATTTCCGTTTAATAATCCCCTCTAATATTCACCTGCAATTAATAACCCCCTCTAATATTCACCTGCAACGTCTTTGCAGCACAAAAAATGAGAAAAAACAACATCGCAAAAGCAATATGGCATTGAGAATTATTTCTTTTCTGACTCATTAACGCGACCTCGCAGTGTGAAAAATAAGTACGTTATTTTGAGGCACCTCGGGGATATGTTTATTCACCTCGGCGCTGCGCGCCTCGGTGAATAAATCACATATCCCCTCGTTGCCTCAAAATAACGTATACTTATTAAGGCCTGTTTCATACGCCGTACTTCACATGTGCAGAATACAGGGTGTCCCAAAAAACCCGAAAACTATTGAAATCACCAATAACAATTTAATTGTTAGAATTTGAATGCCTTAGCACTCTGTTGCTTCCCACGAGTGCATAAATGATTGACATAAGTAAATTTTATGCATAAAGAAACTGTTAAGAAGCTGCTCTAAATTCCCAAGAGCAGAAAATCGCGCACTTTACAAGGAGATGTTCTTAACTAAATTTTAATACATGCACCTTGTCTATATTTTACGCATCATTACGTTCAGCTTTTTGGTAGGGCATTCAATTTTAACAATAAGTGATTTCAATAGTTTTCGGGTTTTTTGGGACACCCTTTATAGGAATTAGTCATTTTGAGTTATGCAATCGTGTGTCTTCATCCATTCGTGTCGTTGAACAATGAAAAAAATCGTCGTGAAATTAGTGAAGATAAAATATCAGTTCGTGAGAAAACTGTGGGTCTACGGAGCAAGAAGTTTTCCGAGAATTGAGTCAGCGTGTTCGAAACCAGGGACGTTGCTCCACCTCTTTGAATGGGGGTGTAAGAGTGAATTTTGCCGAGTGACTGCGGGGGAGGGGGAGAGGGGGTAGGTCATAAAATTTTTTCTGGAATACAAAAATTTTTCCGGACATGTCTTAATTTTTCCTAATATACAAAAAAATTTTCGGACATATCATAATTTTTCCAAAAATACAATATTTTTCCTAATTTTTTCCCATTGGTGTTATGTACTCAGGTGAATATGATGTTTGTGATTGATATTTGTGTGTGTTGGTGTTATGTACTCAGGTGAATATGATATCGAAGGAACTAGACACAGTTCCGAAATATTATCCTACTCGAACCGACTTGACTGCGTAGCTCAGTTGGCAGAGCATTGGCGGACTAGTTTCCCAAAGGTCGCGGGTTCGATTCCCACCATGGCCAAGCAAAGTTTTCAGTTTGCCCGGTGTGGATGCACACTCATCAGTAACAGAGTAACATCACAAACATTTACCCGATATATCGTGAATTGTTAACCTTTTCCATAACTTTTCGTACATTTTGTAACATTTTTGCTTTAGCTAGCTATTACTTTTTTCGGTCCTAGACACGATAACAATTTCCCAATAAATCCGAAAACAATTTCCCTAGTCTATCCCCAGTCTAGCAGACATTTGCCGAGTCTAACAGACATTTGCCGAATCTGTGATGAATGGGGGGGGGGGGGAGTTACACCCCCAGACCCCCTCTAGCTACGCCCCTGTTCGAAAGTGTTAGTTCCCAACTTCCCATAAAAATATTTCAGTTCCAAAACATGCTCAATGAAAATCGTTTTCTAGGCACTTTTCGAGGTCACAGCAAACGGTCTATTGAACAGTTTCTTTATGCATAAATTTACTTACAGGTGTATCAAAAAAATGTACACACTTTCAAATTCAAATTAGCCATAGCCATTTAAATATTCGTTGCTCTGCAGTAAGCTGGCCCATTTTATATCTTATGCAGACAGCAGACTTGAATAATGCTTAATTTAAACATTTTTCTTTGAGTTGTGTATTTGTTCATACAAATAGAAGTTATCCTAAATTGCCATGTGCAGAAGACCTTGTGTTTTCACACATTCATTAATTCGACAAATTATACGGCTGTCAAATTACTACAATAGATTGCGGTTAATTTGAATTTGAAAGGGTGTACATTTTTTTGATACACCTTGTATGTCAAGCTTTTATGCACTTGTGGGTTCAGCAGAGTGCTGAGACATTCAGATTCTAACAATACGTTATTTCAATAGTTTTGGGTTTTTGGGACACCCTGTAGATTTAAAACATTTTGTTGTTACTGACAGTAGTTGAGCCCCCTTGTGTTTGATTTTCACTAATTGTTTTAGAAAACGATGTGATTAAAGTGTAAAATTATTTAAAATCACCAACATACGGTAAAATAGCCCCCCAAATGCTGAAAATGGCACTCAACACTGTTAATCACTGAATGTCATACAATGGAAGGCATGCATCACACCATGAAGTTTAAAAAATCCTCAATTAAAAATGTCAGCATATTAGCATGGACCTGTTGCTATGCCTATGGGTAGCTCGGCACTGTTGTGATGTTTAAACGCGCTACATGCAGGGTGTCCTAAAAAAAACCCAAAACTATTGAAATAACGTATTGTTAGAATTTGAATGCCTCAGCAATCTGGTGAACCCACAAGTGAATAAAAGCTTGACAAAAGTAAATTTTATGCATACTAAGAAACTCATGCATGTGTTTAAAAAAAATTTTGTAAGAGAGATCTATGTAATACGCATGCAGCATTATAATAATGAAAACTCGTTGTTCTGTGGTGAGTTGAATCATTTTCTCCCGAACTGCTAATATGACTAATTTGTAGTTTTATCATATCCTTTTAGAATTTAAGAAGCTGCTTTAAATTCCCAAAAGCAAAAAATTGTGCGGTTTACAAAGATATTTTAATTTCTTAATAAGTCAATATTTAATATGTGCACCCGGTCAATATTTTACACATCTTTGCGTTCAGCTTAATAGTGGCTAGTGTTAGGGCATTCAAATTCTAACAATGCGTTATTACAATAGTTTTGGTTTTTTTTGGGAAACCATGTTTATACACCATAAATCTAAAATGGCGGTGCACGTGCTAAGTTTGGCAGCGCTTTATTATAATAATAAATTCTACCCGTGAGTTCGTTAGTTTGTCCAGAAGCAAAGTCTTCCACAACCGCCTAGTAAAAATCCTTTAACGTTCCATACATTTCCTTTTTTACAGGAAACTTTCCCTCTTACGACCGACTTTATACTGGGCCTTATCTCTGGTTCCATGCAACGAGCCACACCAGCAAGCCAGGCGAGACTGTCACACAATGTCAATGCATGCGAACAATGATAAAATTACAAATTAGTCATCAAAACAATCAATATAGTTGAATAATTCATTATTAGTTTTTAGACACGACCTCACGCACGACGACTGGAATATGACGTAGAGTTGGAAAAAGAACTGGAACGAAAACGCCGTTCTTTGCGGGAACTACAAAAGTTAAGCAACACTGCAACACGTTGACTTCACGTTCCACTTCTTACTGCACTCATCTAGTCTTCGAATCAATCACGGCTCACGGCTAGGCATGTAAATCACGTTTCCGGACACAAAAATCCGCTGTTTCACATCTCACGAATATACCCTTCACCACCCTCTGATAAGTCTTCAATGAACGCATTCAGTGTACACTTGCATGCCAGTTGGCCAAGCTACAATTTATTATCATTACAATAACAAAACATATTACAAAGAAAAAGTAACCATGCGCTACATATGTAGAAATTATTACTGGTATACACAGGTCTGTAATATAACAATGCATGCATGTATTAAATACATCGACAACCGTAAAGCTCGAGCCTCATTGTAGGATAACCGCTCCAAGATTTTGGCAACACACGCAGGTACCGAGCACGAATAGGAGATTTGAATGAGTGGGTAACGATGGAACTTTGATCGGTGTTTGCTTGAAAAACCTAAATTAAAAACATCAGATGAGGTTTCAATAATTCATCCCACTCAGGTGAGTTTTCCGAGTACAACAGGCCTAAGCGGACATTTTTTGTGCACTTAAGGCCCGTTTAAAGCCTGTTTTCCACCAGGCGGAATTTTGCGCGCGGAACGGAATTTTTCTTTGTCTTTTCTAATTAGTTCCACCCGAGAAATCACAAGACAAAGAAAGATTCCGCTCCGCGCGCAAAATTCCGCCTAGTGGAAAACTGGCTTAAGCCGGTACACTTAGTGTATAGTGCGATATTCGACTTCCGATGCATGTGAACGAGTTATGAATATTCAGATGAGGGCACACATACTGATTAAAATGAAGAAGGAGGATCATCCCTTGCACTTTATGCTAGCCTACGAAGTGGGCAAAACAATATATTTGATTAGATTAATTTAGATTTGAATAGATTAGATTCGTTAATTCAGTGTAAATGGCGCAAGATAAACATAATTTATTATTATTATTTATTATCAGAAGAAGAAATTCGCATTAGAAATCGCAGCAAAAGATGCAAGTGTAAACGGGCCTTTATATTAATTTCTGAATCCGTGTTTTGTAAAATTTCACCATACAAGATTGATGCGCTGACTTACCTTTACTTTGCCTGATTCTTTGTAAGGTGTCCATGAATTGGGGTCATAGCTGTATGAAACCGAGTACGACTTTGCCCATTCATTGATGCCATAGCATGTTCCCTGGGTTGCTATTCCTGTCAGTGTCACTGTGGTGAGTTGTCCCAGATCAACCTGAAGCCACGAGCCGGTTCTCCCTGCTCTAGTTGATGTCCAAGAGCAGCTAGAACCTACCTTTGTCAGTCTTGCATAACTAGCTGTATATCTGCCGAAAAAAGTAGACGACGCCGTGATTGCACTATCGGTATATTTATAAACTTTCAAATATTGTCGATGAATTATCGATGTGTTATTTTTAATTTATATACTCATCAATTAATGGCTAATGCGGCAATTGAAAAATCAGTGCCGAGATCAAACCTCCATCGAACGCGAGTCAATTTAAACATGCTTGTTTCAACGGTCGGTAATATTTTCTGGGCATATTAACATTGTGGGGGGGGGGAGGGGTCCTGATATTTTGACCAAGTTTTGGTGAACATTTTGACCAACTTTTCAAAGGTCTGACTCCAGTGGCGGCGGAACGGGTTTTATCTTGGGAGCTAGTTTTGGGTAGCGCAGTTTTCAGCCAAGTGCAAACACGCAGTAGCATACTAGGAGTGCTAACAAATCGAATTATTATAAAATTAGTGACGACATGCAATGCCAATATGTGATCAATAATGTGAAGTAATATAAAGCGATCGACAATGGTGACAAACGTTTGCTATATATATAGTCATAGAGTGTAGTCAGTTTAATTTTAACAAACAATATGCATACATATTATTATATGAATATAAACCAATCAGAATTCAGATTCTTACTGATATACGTCACGTGCTTCGGCCATGTTAACCAACTTATTTTTGCTGGTATATGAATGGCCCTATTGCGTGTTACACATGCAAATAAAGACTTTACTAATACTTACTATTCAAACATAATGCTTCATATGCATCAACAAATTGTCTAACCACATTTGCAATATCTCTGCAACACTGAGGAGGAAGTGTGTTTCCAGCACCGCATAATGTTTTGTTCGCTTCACTCTTCTTCTCCGCTAGTGACTTTATCAAATCACAACAGATCGCTTCACCAAGAGTAACCATCGCAAGAAAACCAACGAAAATCAGAAAAATCATTTTTGCCATTTTCACGTCGTTGTTGTAACACGTTTGGAAGTCGGTACAACACTGCACAAATTGACTTGCGTTTTCGTTTAAAACTTTTAGCTACTCAAGTCACGTGGACCAGTTTTAACCAATTAAATTTCATCGTGATCAAAAATCGTGTGCGTCATTTCATATGCCCAAGCGGAATTTTTTTGTTCTTCAGTGCCGGCATGAAGTCTAGTTATCAAGTACTATAATTAGTTAATTAAGCTTGGCCTAGAGTGTAAAAAGTCGTGTGTCGTGGGTAAAAAGTCGTACGTAAGAGTCGTTGGTCGAAAAATGCTCTAAATTTCCAGTTTTCGCTCAGACATTGCTTTTGCTAGTAAAACACGTGTAAGCGATCAAATGCCCAACTGAATATTTAACCGAAATTCTTCATATTTAATTATGCGTCCGAAGTTCGAACTATTTCGTCAAGAACTCAGCAGGATATGGTCAGATGGCAAGAAACTAAAGGAATGTTGTGACGCAATTAAGGGAAACCTTATCAATGCAATGCGTAAAACACCTAGTAATCCGACAAAAAACATGTATAAACATCTAGTAATCCGACACAAAGTACAACAGCGAATGACATTCCACTTGGCGGAAACTCCACTTATTAGTATCCTCTTCCCGTCGGATGACTAGGTGTTTTACGCATTGTAATTAAGGTTACATCATATGATGAAAACACTGATTTCATCATTTTTTACATTTTTATTGATTTTTTACATTTTTATTGATCGCTAATCACGAAGTTCGGTCGAATGAGTTCCGAACCCGAAAATTCGGAACTCATTCGGCCGAACTTCGTGATTAGCGCCTGCGATATATTAATGAATGATACCGCATATATTTCAAAATGGCGGACAAAAACAAAACGAAGGTAATAAAATGATTAAAAGACAGGCAAAACGAACTCTTGCGTGCTCCCTTGATTAATTTCGCTATGTTTGGGATTAGTTGATTAATAACTTTATAAGTAGATGCCAGCCTCCTCCGCAGGCATCTCACTGAGGAATCGGGTGGTGAGAAAAAGTTTGGTGAGATGCCTGCCATAAATCGACACAAAAATTTGCACTGCGCATACCGGCTCGCGCATGCAAATTTCGACAAACTCAAACTTAGGAGGAGTAGGAAGGGCTTACGGCAAGGAATGAAGAAAATTTTGTTTTCAACACGATGGCTTACAAGACGAGTAAAACTGTAAAATTAACGAATAATCCTGCCATGGCAAGAAATTTTGGACATTTGCCTATTAAACCAGAGCTCGTTCCCAGTCCCCAGAAATTTCAGCGATAAATGGTTGCAAAACGCCAAAATCATGAACAAAACTGTACATTAATGATTATTTTTATTGCTTTTCTGAAAAGTACGGACGGATACATAACATATGTCCATAATTCTATCTATAAAGGTCAAAATTTGGCAGAAAATGAAGAATATGCTAGTGGCAAAATCGTTTCGAAACTTTGTAATCCGATAGAATAAATCCATATGTTGTGACGCGAAGTAGGTGCGCGGTCAGACAAAAAAGCGGCATATCTCAATCGGAGCATGCGTAGTCTCAAAAGTACGGTCACAGAATAAGGCACACAGAAGGGCCCCTGGCCGCCATCTTCCTAGCCAGTCGATTACATTTTCTGGCCAATGAACGCGCTGTATTGGCTGGCCGCCATCTTCCTAGCCAGTCAATTGCATGTTTTTGCATAGAAAAATGGGGACACGTTGCACCGCTGAGTGGCCCTTCTGGTACTGATCTTAATTCTGTGGTACGGTCGAATTCAGAATCGCTTCACTGTGACGAGCATTTCGATACTAAATTATTGTTGTTTCGACCTAAATATCTGGTGGCAAAATGCGTATTTCTTCAATCAAGTCTGCGTGTACACAGGCGCTATCTGCGCATTTGGTCGTTATTATATTGCCTGGTTTTAAAGAATTCACGCTCAACTGGACCGTCTGGACGTATAATTAGCACATCATATAAAAGCTTAAACCAAAGATAAACGATTGCGCAGCATATTCCGTGAGTTTCAGAGTCAATAAAAGGATGCTAACGTTGTTTGTTGTTGCATATGGAATCTCGCAAAGGCCAACACTACAGACCGCTGTGGGAGATCGTGCCTGATGTATCGCATTTCTTGATATAGCATTATTTGCATTTTATTATGTATTATATCCCTCCATGCGTTTATATGGACTTTATATTTTTGTTTATATCAATTCAGGTCTAAAAATGATCTAAATTTGAAATGCTTATCTATATTTGATATGCGCATTAGAGTAGATCGCAGCAAATGTCCTACTTATATGGGCAATTTATTGGCATGTCTTCAACATTGCAAATACAAAGGGAACTTTGACTAAGGAGCTGAGAAAGTTATCGTTAGCCGAGGCAGCGATTTACTGGGATTGTTTAGAGACAACGAGTGACTTTGCAGAGCAGTGAATTCACGTTGACGTCGATTCATGTCAAGACAAGGTTTCAATTAAAAGTTTATCGTTGATATATACAAATTTCTATTCAAATTGTTGACGACATTTTATATCATAATAAGCTGAAAGTGCAGTGATTTAGTCGAAATTATATGATTCGCCCCCCCCCCCGGGCGAACCCCGGGGAATTTGACTTTTCAAAAAAAAATACGGTCAAATTTCCGACGGTGCGCGCATTGTCAAATTCCCAACGGTGCGGGCAAAAACATAGTCAAATGCCCATATCTGCCTCGTACGTTTCCCATATAATTTTACGTGAAGAGAACCAGCTAGCCTTTACAGTACATGAAACGTCCTCAGCTCAGAAACCACTGTCAGCAGGGTAAAGACCATGCAGTGCCAAAATATAAAATATGCTCTGTAAACTTACCATGAAGTGGAGAAATGTGTGCATGAGCTGCTTATTTGATGATTTCAACGTATATAGAAGCCCTCTTTCCAATAATATTCGGTTATCGCACAGTATATAACCGACCAACTGATGTAATAGTTCAAATGCAATGATAAGTTACTGTATCTCTTGAATTACGTCTCGGAAACCGTGTTGGAAATCTCATTGCTGGTCCATTACATATAGATTAGTGTTTTATATCTTTGTGTAAAACATTTTGATCGCATGTAACGAATTATTTCTCAGCCCAGAAACATAGCCCAAAGACTTGACATTAACGTCCTTGTGATTTTATAGAGATAGATCGATCTACTAAGGATATTCAGAAGGAATTATCTGTACCTTCTCAAAAGACAAAGTTGTAGACAAGATATACTGTTTACGTCCAACACGCATAAGATTGCATAACTCAAAATGATTCGAGCAAAACCGGTCTTTTGTTAAAAGGAAGAATGGTTTATGGAAACTGGTCCTTTTGAGTGACATAATCGTGTATCGTCATCGATCCGTGTCGTTGAACAATGAAAAAATTTGCTGTGAAATTAGTGAAGATAAAATAGCATTTTGTGAAAAAACTGCGGGTCTACGGAGTGGGAACTTTTCGGATTTGAACTCAGCGTATTCGATCTAGGACATGCTTAATGAAAATCGTTTTCTAGGCACTTTGAGGTCACAACACACGGACTAAAACATGGCGAATAATTTTCATTAAGGACTTTATACATTAGGATACTCAGAGAAACCGCACAGAGAAAAGAGAAGGCCGCACAGAGAAAAATTCCCCCGGACATGTCCAAAAAAAGGTTCAAAAAAATATTCCGGCCACATACCTGTAAAATCACGGCTAAAACACGCTTTTTCGGACCAATACCAGTAAAATTAAGGTCTAAAAGATTTCTCTCATACCATTACTTATATATACAAATCAGTAATGTTTTTTAATTACACCTTTTGCCCCCCCCCCCTTTTGCAAATTTTGGGGGCCCCTTTATTATCTGGGGGTCCGGGGCAAATTGCCACGTTTGCCCCCCCCCCCCTTCTGGGCAGCCTTGAGGATACACTTCAACTTAGCCCACCTAACATGTAGACTATCCCATCTTAAACCTTCCAAAAGATCACTTGATCTAATCCTATCATATCTTGCTCCAGCGATAACTCTGGGTCTTTATCTGGCTACATCTTTAACGGCTTAATCAGTACTTTCGGTCGGCGTTCGTGAATCGAAAAAGTCGTTTGCTTAACTCTCTAATATTTTCTAAAACAAAACTATATAAAGGTAAATTAAACCGTTATATTCAATTTACTGATCAGTTTGTCGTTACTCTAGCTCAAAGTTGGAAAAATAGCGCAAAATTTGCACAAAATATAAATTTATAGCATTTTAAATCTTGTATAACTTCGGCTGGATAGGCAAAAGCAAGGTAACCGTTTAATAATCTATATTTTATTTTTTTCTAAGCTTTCCAATGATGCATGTTATATTTGCCTAAAAATGAGTTCAAAATTTCAACATTCTGTCCACAATGGTTTTCTATAGGTAGAAGTAAGAAAAACTCGATTTTCACCATGTTCCACCGAAGGGATTTTTAGTATGTTAATCAGAACAACTTTTCTCACACTTTACCACTGAAAACAAATCTATTGCGATTACTTTGATCAGGACCATGTACTTATAGTGATTTGACTGGACTAAGAACAAATATTGACAATTCACGAATATACCCTTCACACCACCCCTCTGATAAGTCTTCAATGAACGCATTCAGTATACACTTGCATGCCAGTTGGCCAAGTTTCAATTTATTATCATTGCAACAACAAAACATATTACAAAGAAAAAGTAACCATGCATGATCATGCATCATGGTATACACAGATCTGTAACATAACAATGCATGCATGAACGCATGTATTAATTACATGCAAACTAGTGGCGACAATTACCGTAAAGCTCGAGCCTCATTACAGGAAAGCTGTTCCAAGATTTTGGCAACACACGAAGTTTGAAGTATATGTGTGGTCTTTAATGGTGATACAGTGTATACAGTGTATCGTTGTTGTGTAAGTAAAAGCATTGGATAATCTGTGTGCTCTTAAAATAATTATTGGCTGATATTGTGGTCTATAGTGAAAAGGTTCCAATAATGGGTGCAAGTTTCCATATACTATTGTCGTTCTGATGTCACAGATATTAGAGTAACGGTAGGATAGAAAGATTAAAAAATGTTTATGGTTAGATTTTCATGCATGTTTGCTCTGTAAACTTACGACGAAGTGGAGAAATGTGTGCATAAGCTGTTCTCGACGAATAACACAAACTGATATAATAGTTCAAATGCAATGGTAAGTTACCTCTTGAATTACATCTCAGAAACTGTGTTGGAAATGTAAATCGTAAGGTCGAATTGTAGGTCGTAAAATTTTTTCCGGAATACAAAAAATTTCATGTAATTATTTTTCCTAATATACAAAAGTTTTCCGGACATATCATAATTTTTCCAAAAATACAAAAAATTTTTTACGACATATCCTAACTTTTTCACAAATACGAAAATTTTACTCGATATATCGTCAATTGTTAACTTTTACGTTTTCCAAACTAATTTCACCACTGAAAGCTCGGTATTGAGACTTTTAAAAAAACAACAACAATATATCTACTAAAAATCACTACAAATACATGCATGCAGTAAAATTATTGCATCCAAAGCATTGCTCTTCTTCACGTTCGCACTTCTTACTAAACTCTTCTATAGTCTCCAATCACGGCTCACGGCTAGGCAAGTAAATCACGTTTCACAACACAAAAACCCGTCGTTTCACATTTCACAAATATACCCTTTACCACCCTCTGCATGACAAGTCTTCAAAGAACACATTCAGTCCACACTTGCATGCCAGTTGGCCAAGCTACAATTTATTACAATTACAATAACAAAACATATTACAAAGAAAAGTAACCATGCATTACATATGTAGCAATTATTACTGGAAAACACAGATCTGTGACATAACAATGCATGCATCTATTAATTACATGCAAACTAGTGGCGGCAACCGTAAAGCTCGAGCCTCATTGTAGGAGCATTGTTCCAAGATTGTGGCAACACACGAATGTAGCGAGCACGAATAGGAGATTTAAATGAGTGGGTAATAATGGAACTTCGATCGGTGTTTGCTTGAAAAACCTAAATTAAAAAAGTCAGATGAGGTTTCAAAAATTCATCCCACTCAGTTGAGTTTCCCGAGTACAACAGGGCTAAGTGGACAATTTTTTGTACACTTACAAAGGCCCGTTTACACTAGCAAATTTTGCTGCGATTTCTAGTACGATTTTCGACTTCCGATGCATGTGAACAAGTTATGAATATTCAGATGATCATGAGGGCAAACATACTCAGAACATTCGTAACTCATCTACTCGTTCACACGACTAAAATGCACTTGCGCGCACTTTATGCTCCCAAAACCTAAGATGAGCGAATGCATGTAGGTACAAGCCTACGAAGTGTGCAAAACAATACCGTTTTGTGTGACGACACAATCAGACGCAGAGCTTTAAGATCATTTAAAATATTTTCAATGTTTCAAGACATAGTTTTAACAGTTTATGTACTCGTTCATTTTTGTACAAATAGTTTTAGGAATACTTTAGACTAGTTAATTCAGTGTAAATGCCGCAAGAGAGTTCGATAAACTCATAAACATCACTTATTATTACTAATTATTATCAGAAGAAAAAAATCGCATTAGAAATCGCAGCCACAGATGCAAGTGTAAACGGGCCTTTATATTAATTTCTGAATCCGTGTTTTGTAAAATTTCACCATACAAGATTGATGCGCTGACTTACCTTTACATTCCCTGATTCTTCGTAAAGTGTCCATGAATTGGGTTCATTGCTGTAGGAAACCGAGTACGACTTTGCCCAATTATTGTAGTTATAGCATGTTCCCTGGGTTGCTATTCCTGTCACTGTGGTGAGCTGTCCCAGATCAACCTGAAGCCACGAACCGACTCTCCCTGCTGCAGTAGGTGTCCAAGAGCACAAAGAACCTGTCTTTGTCAGTCTTGCATAGTAAGGGTAGTTATATTTGCCATAGTAAGATGAAGCCGTGATTGCATTGTCAGGTATTTTACCACTTGTCATTCCTAATGGTTTGGGGTCTATACATAAAGCTTGAATAAAATAGATAATTTGCCATTACTATTAGACTGCAGAAATATGGCTCTACTTTTGGTGTTAGTTATTACGTTTATAGGAATGTAATTAGAAATAATTATATATTTCTGTTTTCGTATGTATAAAGATCAGGCTTTTATTTAGCTGTCAAATGACACCTTCATTGAATCATTGCGATAGAAAATGATAAAAAATGAAAAAACTTTTTCGGGAAAAAATTTTGAAATAGGGACCCCTAAAAAAAATTTGCCACGGGCCCCCGCCAGGCTTTCGGCAGCCCTGATAAAGACTTCACAAATACTTACTTTTATTCAAACATAATGCTTCATATGCATCAACATATCGTCTAACCTCATTTGCAATATCTCTGCAACACTGAGGAGAAAGTGTGCTTCCAGCACCGCATAATGTTTTGATCGCTTCACTCTTCTCCTCCGCTAGTGACTTTATGGACTCACAACAGATCGCTTCACCAAGAGTAGCCATTGGAAGAAAACCAACGAAAATCAGAAAAATCATTTTTGCCATTTTCATTTCGCTGTCGTAACACGTTTGGAAGTTGGTACAACACTGCACAAAATTGATTTGCGTTTTCGTTTAAAACATTAAGTCACTCATGTCACGTGGATAAGTTTTAACCAATTAAATTTCATCGTGATATAGAGCAAAAATCGCGTGCGCAACTTCAAATGCCAAGCGGAACTTTTTTGTTCTTTAAGAATCGGGTGCGCAACTTCAAATGCCAAGTGGAACTTTTTGTTCTTTAAAAATCGCGTGCGCAACTTCCTGAATGCCAAGCGGAACTTTTTTGTTCTTTAAGAATCGGTTGCGCAACTTCAAATGCCAAGCGGAATTTTTTTGTTCTTTAAGAATCGGGTGCGCAACTTCAAATGCCAAGCGGAACTTTTTTGTTCTTTAAAAATCGCGTTCGCAACTTCCTGAATGCCAAGCGGAACTTTTTATTCTTCAAAAATCGCGTACGCAACTTCAAATGCCAAGCGGAACTTTTTTATTCTTTTGTGCAAATTTACCTATAGGGAATTCCATTGTATTTGCACCCCTTGCACTATTGTGTTTCATGATGGCGTCGTTAACCTTGGAAAGGTCTATTGGAAGGCATTATATACATCATAAATCTAAAATCGCGGTGCACGTGCTAACTTTGGCAGCGCTTTATATTTGCCCTTGAGTTCGTTAGTTTGTCCGGCATCGAAGGCTTCCACAACCGCCTGGTAAAAAATCTTTTCACGTTCCATAAATTTCCTTTTTTACCAGAAAATTTTCCTCTCACGAGCTACCCATAGCAACAGGTCATGCTATGCTGACATTTTTAATTTAGGATTTAAACTTCGTGGTGTGATACATGGCTTCCATTGTATGACATTCGGTGAACAGTGTCATATTGAGTACCATTTTCAGCATTTTGGGGGCTAGTTTATGGCATTTTGCTGATTTTTAACACTTCAATCACACCATTTGCTGACACAATTAATGAAAATCAAATGGACCACATAGCTAGCCTGTGATTTATAGTAGATAGTTGTATTTATAGGTGCATGCGTTGATTGTGACAGTGCAGCATATCCAACTCACTATATTGTTCCTAAATACATTAATTGTCGTTGATTATTACATTTCATCGAGATAGAGATTTACAGTCTACTCAGGGATCAAGTACGAAAAAAGCAGAATTTTTAGTTATTTTGCGCGTCACTTTGTACACTCTAGGGAAATCAACCTAAATGTGATTTTATTTCATTTTCATTTGGGGAGGAGCTGAGATTTTAGTATGATAGTTATAACTACTTTCGTTACATAAAACAACCAGTTATAAAGTTGCTCTTGGGTGCAAAAATTCAGTTATAACTTAAGCATTTTCCTCATTCCTGTTATTGTGAAAATACTTTTCTCATTAATACTCCAATAACTTCCAATGGCAATGAAGCTTATTTTACGCGCTAAAGTATAACAAGTTTGTCACTTGTGTGGAAATTTCCGTCGCTAAAACTTAGTGCCATTTTACACGGGAATTTTCAATGATGATTCATAACGGAACCCATGACTGAAAAGCAATCGAATTTCGTTTCCGTTTAAACTCGTCGTCGCATATCGTGCCGTCTAACACAGTGACGTGGCCAGGATTTCTAATCAAGAGGGGCCCAAAAATCCCAGTAGGGTCCGAAGCAATTTTACCCTGCGCTAGTTCGAAGAGATAGTTTGCATGCTTATTTATCCGAGAATGTGTTTGGATGGGGTGTGCTTTCCCGGGGAAATTTTTAAAATCTAGAGTGCCATTTTTAGCACTCGACATTTTTGTGGCTATTTTATTGTGTGATTTTAAATGATTATTTAACACATAAAAACTCTATACTATTAATCACGAACTTATCAAAAACATTTATTTAAATCATAGCAAGATATAAAATTTGCATTACTTGACTATGATGTAATACCGCCTTTACCACTATATGTAACAAAGCTACACTTCATTTCCGAAGTTCAATATATACATGATATCTATAGGTTTCCTTTCCTTGCCCTAATTACAGGGTGTCCCAAACAACCCCATAACTATTGAAATAACGAGGTGTAGTGTTAGAATTTGAATGCCTCAGCACTCTGCTGAACCCACAAGTGCATATTAAAAGCTTGACATCAGTAAATTTTATGCATAAAGAAACTGTTCAAAAGAAAGTTTGTAACAGAGATTTATGTAATACGCAGCGCTAAAACAATAAAAACTCGTTGTTCTGTGGTGAGTTGAACCATATTCTCCCGAACTGATAATATGATTAATTTGTAATTTTATCATTTTTGCTAAGTTGTTCTCTTTTAGAATTTAAGAAGCTGCTTTAAATTCCCAAAAGCCAAAAATCGTGCGCTTTACAGAGATATTTTAATTTCTTAATAAATCAATATTTAATATATGCACCCTGTCAATAGACTCGATAATTTACGCATCTTCGCGTTCAGCTTAGTGCCGCTATAGGCCATTCAAATTCTAACAATACGTTATTTCAACAGTTTTTTGGGGATACCCTGTAGAGTGTTTAAATATAACAATAACACAGTGCCGAGCTAACCATATAGGTAGACACAGATTATGCTATGCTGACATTTTTAATTGAGGATTTTTGAAACTAATTCATGGTCTGATATGCATGCCTTCCATTGTATGACATTCAGTGTCTTAATTGGAAGGCATTATGGTGTAATACCGCCTTTACCACCTATATGTAACTTACAGTTTAATTCCGAAGTTCGATATACACATGATCTGTAGGTTTCCTTTCCTTGTCCTATAATTCATCACAATAATACAGTAGGGAGCTACCCATGCATAGCAACAGGTCATGCTATATGCCTTCCATTGAATGAAATTAGCTTTTCTCACGGCAGATTTTCCCGCCATTTTTGGGGTACTGCCTCTTCCACGTTTGAGAGTCTCCGCTCCAGGAAACACAACTTTTCAGTATTGTAGTTGTTTGTATAATGGTAAATTTACAATTTCAACTTTTAAAAGTCGCTTTTCACGTTCTTTGAATTTTCTAGAACCTTTCAGGAGGGCAGACAGTACCCGAAATGGTGGATATTGGCCTTCGTGGGAAAGCTATCTCATTTTGGTGAATATAAATCATTTTAACACTTCAATCACATCATTTTCTAACACAATTAATGAATATCGAATAGTTATAGCTAGCCTGTACATATTGTATTTATAAGTGCGTTGATTAAGTGACAGTGGAGCATGAGGTGGAAGCTATAACTAAAGTATTATCCGATTCACAACAGCTGGGAAATTTGTTGCGCATGCGCCAGATTTCCATTGAAACTTGAAGATTTCCCCGAAGAAATATTACGAGATGTTCGTGGTTGTTGTATATTTTTGAATGCCTGTTTAATCTTTATACTTTTTTTGCTTGAGACAAAGACAAAGTAAAATGTACTCTACGTTTCCAGTGAATATCTCGTTTGAACAGCAATAGAATATTATAACCTTGACACAAACAAGAAGACATTTGACACGCTATTTAAAATCTGTAGTCATGCCTGACTGAGGTATAAAAGCCAATCGTCGCGACCTTGACAGCCTTGTCAAACGCAAAACAAGTACAAATTTGGATATATTCAAACAGAAAGAAGTTCAATATTAATACAACTAACATATATTCTATACAAATACGGGTGGTTTAAAATGTTTTCAATTGAATTTTCAAAGCTTTTATCTATCGCTATGATAATCAAACTCAACCTCGCAAGCCAGGGTCTTCTACCTACCCTGGCTTGCGAGGTTGAATCAAACTGTGAACTTGATGCCGCAGTTTTGTTGACGCTTGCGAATGCAAAATAAATTCCCGTAAACAGAGCATTTCTACACAAAACTCTCGCTTAGTCTTCTGATGCACTTGTACGTTCGGTTCTACTAGTTAAACAAGGAAAATATTCAAGAAACACTGGTATTAAAATTATCGTTGTCAAAAAAACATTTCAGTGCTGAGGCAGTACCACTGATCTAGCAGTACAAGGTCTCAAGGGCAAGGTCAAGTTGTCGATTTCATTACATTTTACAGTACTTCGGAATGTTTTCGAACTCTTGCTTCATACAAGAGCAGTAAACGCACGCATTTCAAAGCGAAATTAGACGCAAAGGGGCAATTTTTCAACAAAATTCATTGTTAAATTATGTTTCCTATGTGCCTTGGGAGCAAAAAAATATGATTTTAAATTTGGAGGAATCGGTAAATTTTTTTGCAATTTGGCCTGGTATTGCACCCTACCTATGTAATGACTGTGCTGTAAAAGTAATCAAATATACTATTTTGAATTTCCCTTCATTGAAAGGATCTACTATTGTGGACTAAACTAAATTTTAATCAGCATACAAGGCTGCAAACAACAGCCAAGAATTAGCTGGGTAGTTTGCAAACTTTAAAAATAATTGGACCTCAAACTTTGATCCCCAAAAGTAAACAAATGGCCAATACTGCGAACATAATCCAAGTTTTGACCACTAGGGGCAATTTTTAGATGTAAAAAAACTTGTTTAAATTACATATCAAACAAAGGCAAAACAAAATTTGGTATTAATTTTTTGGAGGAAACGTCAAGGTTTTTTGCTATCCGCCCACGCTTCTACACCCCCTCCCCCAGGACCTTCTCTATCAGAAAACAGTTTTCTGCAGAAACTATGCTTTTTATCGGGAAAACTTTCACCTTTCTCAAAAAAATACTTTAGAAACACGGAAACTTTAAATATTTAAATAATTTTCATACCTTTTTGGGATTGCAAAAAGCAAAATTTGATTCATTATCACACTTTTTAAAATATATGTGACAAAGTTGCTTCGAAATCACTATCACGCAGTAGCATGTTTATTTACCCTCATCCTCTAGACTAAATAAAGTTTAACTTTTTGAAAAGCTATTTGTTTTATAGCTCTTGGTTAGCAGTTTACGTTTATGTCGATTTTGGCACCCATGAGGCCAACAAGTTATGATAATCCGCGAATGAAAACTGATATTCGAAGAGCACAAAAGCCAACTCCTAGCTATGTAACTTTAGCGTCTGGATTTTGAATCAATCCACAATTAAATTTCTTGTAATGTAGATGCTTTCCATACTTGAGATGTTAGTGAAGTTTTTCCAACAATTTAATTTCCTTGATCGCCGTCTTAAAAATGCAAAATCATCAGTTGAAATTTCACTCTTGTTGTTTTTTCAAATTTTCGAATTTTTTTAAAATATCGCGTGCGCCTGCAATTTTTCTGCACAGCGACAACAAATTTCCCAGCTGTTTGTATAAGGTATATAATAGTTTTGTTTGTGGAAACACCACGAAAATTTAATATTTTTTTACGCGGTGCTTCCACAAACAAAATTAAACTATTATATGTTTTATCGCCATGCAAATTTACAAAGAACTTATGTATAAGATATGTTATGAATAATAAGCACTACGACGTTGCATCATTAAAAGGACTCATTTTATCCCCATCCGTTCGTATTTTATCCCCATATTCGTTCCGTGGATCCGCTCCATCCGCTTCCGCATTTTTACCAAATTTTGACATATTTCACAATAACAATTCTCATTGACCTTAACTTTATATTCCCAGTGTCACGTTGTGTCATTTTCAGCTTTTCGCATGTATTCAAAAGCGGAAACAATATACGCCGTCAACATTTTTAAAGGTACACGATAGTTCATTTTTAAAACAACAACATTCTCCTTTTACAAGCAAAATAATTAAACAAATTCATGAGAAAATACATATCAGTAACATTATTTTTTTAAGAATGGGCTAAAGTCCCACAAATTACAATGGAGCTACACGAAATGGACAACGCGACGTTAGACAACCATTTAAGATTGTTTTACGCCGAGGTCAAAAACCAAGATGGGGACGACTACAGCAAGTCGACTCTACTCGGTCTAAGGTATGGTTTGGAAAGATATCTAAACTCTCCACCACACAACAAAGGTATCACAATATCTGGAAACCCAGAATTTAAGAAGTCAAATGTTGTCCTCAACGCCAAACTAAAATCCCTGAAGCAAGGCGGCAAGGAAAATGTACAACACAAACCTCCGCTTGAGCCAGAAGATCTCCAAAAGCTGAAAATCAGCGGTGTATTTGATTGTTCAAGTCCCCTTGGGTTGCTGCGAAACGTGTGGTTCAGTACGGTGTTGTTTTGGTGTCGTCGTGGTCGTGAAGGTCAACGAAACCTAACAAGAGAGAGCTTCGTCTTCGCACAAGATCCCACCGGCGAAGAGTACGCGACGATGACACACAGCGAGGCATCCAGAAACCACCCGGGTGGAATAAAGGATAGCGAGAGTTTCCAACATATTGGCCGAATGTACCAGACAAACGAGGAAAACGACGGATACAGCGCCTTGAAGCTCTACATCAGCAAGTTAAATCCGGCGTGTGAAGAATTGTTTCAGTATCCGAAGCGTAATTGGAAACCGGACGGTAAAACGTGGTATGAAAATCGCCCTCTTGGTATCAACAAACTTGGCGATATGATGAAAGATATCAGTACAGTCATAGGCGTACGGGCACATTATTTTTTTTTGGGGGGGGGCTGTGCTGAATTTGCCCGAATGACATGACGTCATAGATTTCGTGACGTCATAAAATTATATAATCTAAGAAGACTACAAATGAAAGGCTTTTCTTTGAAGTCTTTGAAGATTGATATAAAAAGAAATATGTTGTCCCTAGCCATTTCAATTATAAGCTAAATATATGGTATTACGATTCACAAAGAAAGAGAAAGTTACTAACGTAACAACATTTATTGGTATAATATGGGTAATTGGACAAGTACTGGTGCAAGACATTGTGTAGCCTAAATAATGAGAGGACCAGTATTCCAAAAATTGTTGTTCTTTATTTCTTAACTCCGACTCCTGTGATGAACATGTACGTAAAAACCTAGGCAAATTACGATTATATAGAAACTGAAATAGGTGGAAATTTTATGGGACACGGTAAAAGGCGAGGATAAGGGGCGGGAAATTAAAGTTGAGAAGGAAGGCAACCCTGTCCGCGTTTCGACCTAAAGATGGTGTAACATTTTCACTGTCCGTCACCGTATTCTGTTCACTATTTTCTCTGAGCTGTGACAGTGAATTTAATTCATCAACGTCAATGAACGTTCTCATTGGTTCCATTTGGTCTTCGCTCATGGGTTCCTTCACATTTTTCTCAGATAGATCTTCATCAAAAGACACCGTGACTGCAGAATCTTTACTACCACTTGATTCAGTTCCAAGTAGGGTTAGGTCATACTGCAGGTGACAGCAGGTCATTGTCCTTGGTTGTCATGTTACTTTTTACAAAGAAAGTATTGATTTTCGACTGGGTTGAATCCGATGATTCCATCACTGGATGACATTTCACTTTTTTTACCATTGTGAAATGTGAACCAATCGAGAATGCACCTCGTTATAATCACTGTCGATTTCTTTATTGCATTCCTCGCACCGAACATCGTAAAATCAACAATTTTTTAATGATTGTAAAAAAATCGCGCACTTTTATGTCTATCTAAAAGTCTAAAATTAGTCACATTAGGTCATTGTATAATGTATAGTATCCATTTTCAGTGACTGGTGTGTCATAGCCGCGGTGTCGCTCAGGGCCAGAGCCAAAGGATAAACATTACTGATGCGATTGTCACTACCCACACTTATACCACACCTTCGCAATATGTGCAGCTATATACTATATACTTATTTAGTTTAATAGTTGTATAGCCTACATTATGCTAGGTAAAACTGCTGAATATAGGCATGAATACAGTAGTGACATTTTATTAGTAGCCATAGGCCCATAGCAATTGTTCCTTCATTCTAGCCGTTTCTGTGGGGATTTACGTCTGTAGTATGTGCGCAAAAATCAAAACCAAATCCGATTTTAGAGCACTTGACCTTTAATAAAGGTTAACCTGACGCAACATGCTTGAATCCAGCTATGCAGTCTATGGTTGTAATAAATATACACAAACGTTGCCATTACAGATTTACAGTGCATGATTGAACCTGTAAAAGTTGAATTTGTTGAAATAATACTCCTGTTCCGCTTTATGGATCGATATATTCGTCTAACCACCAGACCGTCATTGCCCGAATGAGAAGACAATTTTTGCCCGAATATAGATAAATTCTAAAAAAATTGGGGGGGGGGGCTGCAGCCCCCCAGCCCCACCCTCCCGTACGCCTATGCAGTACAGCTGCTGGTTTATCCAAGATCTATACAAACCACTGTGTAAGAGCCACTTCAATCACGCTTTGGTCAAATGCTGGCTTAACTAAGCGCCATATCATGTCAATTTTGGGCCATCGCAATGAGCAGTCCTTGCAGCACTACAATCGTAGACCATCTACATCCCAACTAAAGCGCTGCAGTGAAGTATTATCTGAAGCTCTGGGCAATGAAACTGGTCAATCTGATCGACATTTTGCTGTGCAGCGAAGGCGTACCGTTGAAAGGACCAATTCGATGTCAAATGCGACAACACTCACTTCACAATCGATCGAGATCGACAATCTTCCAAACTTTCGCTCTTTATTTAGCGGTTGTTCAATCGGAAATGTTAAAGTTAACTTTAATAAGCAGCAGTGAACTAAAACTGTTATGTTATTATACTATATTTAAACGTTTTGCATGTATAAACTATAAAAGCATCACTGTATATTTCGTTGTTGTTTTGAAGCCGTTAAGAACATTCGTGGGGGTAGCGAATTCCTCTGCCTCTGATTGGCTAGTTGACGATTCTTGTGAGAATTGCAAATTTCATCAATAAATTTAATAAAGTTAACTGTTGTTTCACTGTAGTTATTTTATAAAATAATTACCAAATGGTTTTATCGTGCAGGATAGCGTGATCCATGCACTTGGGATGTTGCTCGACTTTCGGAAAGCGTAAAAATACACTCGCCTTCGGCTCGAGTATTTTTACGCTTTCCGAAAGTCTCGGAAAACCATTCGGTATTCCTTTATTGATTGGGTGAGGAAATCATTGCACATTTTGTCATTTCGTTTGCGCTGGTAACACAGTGAAATATAAGAACTCATCATGGGCGTACCGGAACGAAAAACTTAGGGGGGCGGAAAGAAATTTGCCCGACTTTTGCGGATTTTGCCAGACAAGTACCGAAAAAAAATTTTTCCGGAATTTCTTTTGGCGACCCCCCCCCGTCGTCAAAAAAATTTCGGTCAGTGTACCATTTTAGGGGTCAAAAAATTTTCCCGGACGTACCAAAATTTTTCGGAACCTAACAAAAATTTACGAAAAATAACAAAATTAACAACAAAATTTACAGAATTTGTCCCATTTATTTTTATATTAAACCAAAATTGCCCGACTGTTCAGCGAATATTGCCCGACTGCCCAACAAACTGAGGGGGCTGCCGCCACCCACCACCGCCACCCACCCCCGCCACCCCCCGCCCGGTACGCTCATGCAACTCATTACTTTGCAAAAGCTAGAAAAAAAATCCGCACATGTGTAGCCACAAACATGTCGCTGAGTATTGGGCTCAGTCAAAAAATTTTTTTGTTTTGATTTACTAAAGATTTACTTGCAACAAAATTAGGCTTATTTGTAAGTTTAAAGCAAGGCCGGGTTTTGATAGAAATAGTAGGGGAGGTGGAAAAATATTTAGGGGAGGTGCAACGGTCTAACTCACGACCCCGGCCATGGCAAGTTAGGGCTTAGAACGGGCCAAAGCCAACGACATGACGTATGCATGTAGTGTACACATGTATCAGTGTATTAATGAATTATGACTGTACGACTCATCCAATTTTGTCTTTCATTATAATTATTACGTACGTTTCTTTCAAAATATTGCATTAAAAGGGTATTTGACACAGAGAGATGATTATGGCTATCACTGTTTCGATTTTACAGAAAAAAACTTTCTTACGAAGTGTAGACCCTAAGCAACCATCAAATTTTCAATTTGATCTATCATTGAAACGTTCCTAAGGGGAGGTGCAAGACTTTTCAGGGGAGGCGCAAAATTTCTCAGGGGAGGTGCAAAACGATCTCAGAGAGGTGAGCACATCCCCACACCTCCTCTCAAAATCTGGCCACGGTTTAAAGTGGTTTAATTATTCTTGAGTCACCTAAAATTGTTTTTGGGTCTATTTTGATCGAAAGCTAATTTGTGAAATAATTTTGAAATTGACTTCATTAATACTTCTTATTAACCGAACGCGAGGTCTGTACAGAGAAATATCGGACCTCGGTCTTTTTTTCGATTCGCGTGCAGAGTACTAACCGATCTACAGAGGCCAGTTACCAAGCACTCGTATTAGTATACACACATGAACTTACGACGGTTTTGGAGCTAGACAACAGAGTCCTGTAGCTTAGTGGGTTAGAGCGCTGCACCTGAATCGCCAGCTAGTTGAATTATTCAAAATTGCGCCTGGTTAGGTCTGATAAATGTATAAAATTTCCATCGAAATTTCCATCTACAAAAATCCTTCAACTCATCTTTAGGCCTGTTTACATTTGCAATGTCTGCTGCGATTTTAGATGCGATTTTCTTCTTTGTTTCAACCGATATATTTCCAATTATATCTTTTTTCACCAGTTCCAGGCTCTTCACGATTTAATTCAAACCGGATGAGTTTTGCATGTAAATGGTAAACAACCATAGATATCTTATGTACACTAGATAGTGCATCTCCTTAAGTAAAATTGAAGCCAAGAATATTCCAGCGGTTACCCCCATTTGAATAGATGGCGGCCATGTTGGAGTTTGCCACTCGCTAATAAACGCTTAAAAAACAACAATAACTTTCATCATTTAGACAGTTTGAAAATGTATTTGGAATAGGTTTAACTTAATGTTTAAGTTCCCCGTTTAAGAAATAGAAAACATACAATTCTTCTCATTTCATGGGAATATCCTGAGTCTGCAATCATGCACGGCTTCAATTTTTGAATTGCAGAATAATTAGATGCACAATCTAGTGTACATGCAGGATGTATAAAAAAAACTGAACCCTTTCAAATTCAAATTAGCTATAACGTATTGTAGTAATTTGACAGCTCTAATTGCTTTGAATTAATGATTGGGTAAGAACACAAGGAAATGAAGGAATACTGTATTTCTTTTAAATTTTCTAATTTTTATACACACTGTATAAAAGATATCTATGTAAACCAACCTTCATGCAGTTGCCTCCGGTCAGTCTCTCTAAATGGAAAGCGCATAATCCGAATGGGATTTTCTATCCGAAATTTTGCTTATCATCACCACAATTTCAAACTGAATGGGTTTTCCATGTAAATGGTGAACAACCCATAGATCAATATGATACGTTGTTCAGTTGGTTCGTCCTTAAAAAACGACGCAATAAATCAATATAATATGTTGTTGCTTTGTTCTCGTTGAATGATATGTTTTTCATGCCTGATGGATAAAAAGTGGGCAAGTACGAGTATGATAAAAAATGTTAGTCAGAATCGCATATTTTCACCTCTGTGCCTTATTAAAGAAGTGTAGAACAAAAGAAAAAGCAATTAATCACTAGTCGTGTGATAGCTTAGCTGAGATTTAATAGTAATCATTAATATGCGGGTAGTACTGTATATTGAAGCGAAATTCATCAACTTAAGTCTCAAAAGGGAACTAGTTTCAATGATTTTGGACCCAACTATCAACGGTGAAAATATGCGATTCTGACCAACATATTTATCGGACTCGTACTGGCTCACTCTTTATCCATTTGGCATTGAAATACATATCATTCAACAGCTAAAAGCCTGATCTCGTCCCGAATACGAAAAAATCTTGTTTACACGCAGAGTAATTCAGGTGCAATAGCGCATTAAAGTTCGGTTATATTTCTTTTAAATGATTTATAATCGTCATGGTACACCGTACATCACAACCATATAGGCATTAGGTTATTAGGTTATCTTCTGTGATTATAATCTTGAACTGTATTTGCTAGTGTAGGTCGTGCCAATAAAACAAACAAGCTTTCGTTGGTAGGGATGCAACTACCTGAAAATATGTGAGGAGAATTTTCACGTTTCGAGCGAAAGCAAGAGCTCGAAACGTCAACATTGGATCCAATGGACAATATGACAAGGCATAACATCGGCTCCGAGGTAATAGACTACGCGAAATTTCGCTTAGGGTGGTTTACCAGTGCTGCGGTACAACCAAGCAAAAAATGGAGGAATGCTCAGGCACATATGATGCTTTAAATTCCCAAGAGCAGAAAATCGTGCGTTTTACAAAGATATTTTAATTTCTTAATAAGTCAATATTTATAATCTGACTTAAACACAGCAGCATCCATTGACGCTCTTTACGGATCGTCAAAGTAGGTTCACGAGCCGTAAATTATTTTCACCAACCGTACGTTTCGTACGATCCCGTAAAGCCATTTCATATAGTTCGTACGGACTGTACGACCCGTACGGATCGACAAACTTTTCTGGCCTTGAAATGCAGCCGTTGTATCAAGACGTGAAAATAGATAGCTTAAGATCTACGACGTCGACGTCAGGACGACATCAGGACGACATCCTAGTCCCAGTCCTCGTGACGTCCTAGCTGACGTCGACGTCGTAGATCTTAAGCTATCTAATATGTGATTTGGCGTTGTAAACAAAGCGAGGACAATGTCTAAATTATTCATAGTTGTAATTACTCAATTCTTTTCAATGATCCATTGTATTGGTAGCAGTTGCCGTCGCGTTGCCGTCCTAAAATCGTAAGGTCTCTAATATCGAGTTTGCTACGCCACTGACAACCATCGTAGAGGAAACAGCGGCTTGCAATGGATTGTGTGGAGGCAATAGTTGGGAACTATACAGTGTCAGTGTGTCAAAAAAAAGTGAACCCTTTCAAATTCATACTAACTATAACGTATTGTAGTAATTTGACAGCTCTAACTGCTTTGAATTAATGATTGGGTATGAACAGAAGGTCTTGTACTGATGGGACAAAACTCAAAGAAATAAAAACTAGAAAATTTAAAAGAAATACAAAATTCCTTGTGTTCTTACCCAACCCTTAATTCAAAGTACTTAGAGCTGTCAAATTAACAGTGCCTTATAGCTGATTTGAATTTGAAAGGGTTCACTTTTTTTTAGACACACTGTAGTTGCGTGAATGAAAAGAGTTGCTTCATGCATATATTTCTAATCATATAAATTATAATTACGCTCAGATACAGCAGCTCTGTTTTTATGCTTTTTTGTGAAATAAAACGCGGAAGATTGTAGTCGTGCATTTTATCTTGCCGTGTCAAATAATATGTAGCCAAACTAAATTTGTCGGACAGGGACGGTGCCATCTGTGCAATTTTGAATATCGAAATTGTAGCAACGCTGTTTAATACAAGGTAGCTATTTCCACACGGGAAGAATGGTGATAAAAACTCACTGATGTAATATTAAACTCTATGATATGAAACGCTTTATTATGTCGGTCAAAAGAAGCGTTACATGTTACGTCAGTGCATGATGTTTCCGTTTGTCTCACTCTGCAATAACTCGCAATTCACCAACTCGTAACTCGCGAGTGAATTGCCATTGGCAATTTCGCACACTCGTAACTTGCGAGTGACTAGCTATTCACTCTGATTGATTCTTACTATGTATGACTATGTCTATGATTTTCAAAATTTTCGTTTTCACAAACAAGTGCAGCGTAGCGTATCTGTAGGTGTGAGCTTTAAATCAAATTTTAACCACATCGCTATCCTATGAACAGAACTGACTGCGTGAATGTTGCATGGTACGAATAGAACTTACTGTAGTTTAAAGTGCATATGACATGATTTTTTTTATTTTCTTATATGAAAGAATTCTTTAAGTTGTAGGGTAACTTATTTTTCAGTTTCCTGTTTTTGTATCTGCGGAGCAGATATATTGCTATCGCAAACGTGACCGTACCGTTACCGTACTGTACCGTATGTTAACACATAGCCATTCAGCGACGAGCTTATATAATTTAAGCCAATTTAAGCCAGTCAGCGATCATGTTACATCATGTCCGCCATCTAACCTGCGAACGGGCATGGTTTGGCCTGGTGTTATTCAGGTATTCTCGCCAATTTGGATTTTCATAAATATCTTTTTGTCTTATTTTCTCGCCATTCTATTATCAACATGGAAACTTATACTCATCTGGTAAGTAGTCAAAATGCCAAATACAAATATTTTATTATATACATTTTAATATACAGTCATTATGTAATATTTTAAACAGTCAAAACATAGCAGGCAAGTCAGGCAATATTGTCAACGAACAATATTACGATATCAAAGGAACTGACTAATGTTCTCAAAAGATATTAAATTAAATCCTTGTCCTGTATTTCTGTAACTCTGTTCAAAACAACAGTCCAACTAAGCTGTCATCAAATGTAGTATTAGAGCGACAGTTAAGATGTTATCAGTTAAAATACTTATACATTTTGGTTTTACACATTAGAGTATAAATAATACAGTAAACAAACTTTTTACAAACATTTTCAAATGCTAATAAGTAATTCCCTCACTCCCTCCTCATTTTGCTTTCTAACATAAATGTTTTTGTTTAGAGATTGGTACAAGAATGATGAATAAATGTATTGGATATTGCCTGGATACTGAAGTAAAGTGTCACTCAGTGCAAATGGTAGAAAGGCTATATCAACATAAAGTTAGGGTTGATTATAGTAATTTTGTCAGAACAATGGTGGACACTTGCAAGTCAATCTTACCTAAAGTCATTAGTATGGAAAAGAACTTAATTTAACAGCTACAATAATCATATATCATATGGATAGCTAGATCAGATCAATTGCACACAATGTGCAAAACTAAATAGTTTTTGTGTGGATATGCTGTGTTAAACCGAACAGTGTGGTATATCATTAACTATGCACAGAATTGGAATTGAATTATATATTTCACTCATGACTTTCAAAACATTCTCTACTATTCAGTGATTTTCGATATATGATTGACTCACTGCTACAGTAGTGCATGCTCCTCGAATAGTTTGTGTATGCTACTCAATAGTAGATAGTTAACATTGCTAAGTGTAAACAAAAACAGACAGAACTTTTGCTTCATATGATTACAATAAAGTTTTGAAAATTCTACGAGTAGGCATGGATTGACAAATGACAGTTTACTAAACAGGTGGCTGCGGCTGTATGGACACTGACAGCATAATTATCTGTTACAATCATAATCACATTATAAAATTAGTTAAATTTTCTCGGCGGTGGGGGGAGGGGGGGGGGGATTGTCCCTGCTGCACTGTGTACAGCCCTGTTAGCTATAGATGTGTATTATGTTTGACTTTAAAATCTTATTTGCTATTATATTATAATAAGTGATGAAATATTTCAATTGTCCCATGTCATCTTCATTATTCAGTTCCTTTCAAGAAAATACAAAATGTGAATCAAGTTTTTTCGCCGATACATGTACGCCTCGCGTACGTATTTTTATGGTTTGTTCCCGAGATATTTCAATTAGTTTGGTATGTAAATGAGGGTGAATATGTCCGCTAATTTATGACGTCACGTTGGTTGCAAGTTCTTCAAAATGGTTGAATATCACGGCTATCATCCAAGATAATAATTTCTAACTTCACTCACTGGAAAATGTGATAAAACACTGGAAAAAAACGTGAACTGATATCTACAGTTTTTAGAGTTAATAGATTTATAACGAATGTAAGTTGAGTTCGCAACCAACATGACGTCATAAATTAGCGGACATATTCACACTCATTTACATATCAAACAAATTGAAATATCTCGGGAACAAACCATGAAAACAAGAAACTGAAAAATAAGGTACACTGCAGCTTAAAGAGTTTTTTTCATTCAAGAAAATAAAAAAATTCATGTCATATGCACTTTAAAAGATAACTGCATGCTACTACCGCATTAAACATTGAATTAGATTTTCAACTTGTTATTTTGCCATGTTTGTTCAAGGCCAAAGTCATATATTTCCTTTTCTTGGGCGTTTGAATTGGTCGGATAATGCGAGCTAGACGAATTTGGGTTGACTTATGTGTTGTCATTTATAGTATTTGGAATTTTCCGAAGAAACTCGAAGCTTCAAAAAGAAATAATACGAGTTTCTGAACGCATTCAAGAACGCGTTCTCGAAAGTGTTCCTGACGCGTTTTGGAACGCGTTCCGAACACGTTCGCAGCATTAGGTTACTTCTGAGCAGTATTGTAGATAAGCCAGCATGAGCTCCACCTTTGAATTTACTATATGAGTAAATTCTTAAACACGTCCGAATTTATCATTACTAATTCGCAGCACATTTTGAATTTATCATAATAATAAATTCGCGGCACCCAACACTAACCCTAACCCCAACCCCAACCCTAACCCCTAACCATTAACCCCTAACCCTAACTTTTTTAACTTTTTAAATTTTTTTAACTTTTTTAACTTTTTTAAATATCTAACTTTTTAAACTTTTTTTTCTTTTTAAAACTCTTTTAAAACTTTTTAAAAACTTTTTTAAAAACTATTTTTTTGAAAATCTTGATACAACTACACCGAAACCGGTGTTACCATGACACCAAAAAAACGGGGTTATTTTAACACCTTTCCAGATGTTAACTTGACACCGTACAAAGTGGTGTTAAAATAGCACCAAAAAGGTGTTATTTTCTACCTTTTTATTTGACATAATTTTTGGTGTTATTTTAACACCTTCAAATTAACAATGTACATTACATAATCAACAATTTTGAAAATGTATACCATTGTTTAGGCTTACGATTGTTTTGTATTTAGTTAAGATTACATAACGTGCAAAATTTTTCTGGAAACTAGGATATATATTCTTATGCGGTTGGTAAAATTGCCAACGCATCGCTTTTGATAGAGACAGTGGTGGTCGTATTGTTGATATGTTCCTATGGTAATATTTCCGTGGTTGGTGGTCCCGTGGTTGGTGGTGCTTCACTAGCTCTCAAAGTCGTGAGCGGACATAAACGGATACGTCTGCTCCGAACCCAGGCACCCCAGAGACGTTGGTGTAATATCGCTGATAGCTGCCTGCGAAGTCAGAAACATGTAGTCCTATCCCCAAAGCATATATCGCATCAGAGCAACCTATATAAAAGATAATGATAATTAACAATAAAAATCAGTAAAAGAGGCCATGAAGTGTACTCTTATTTCTATTCGAAATATTTAGAATCGTGCTTTGTACTGTTATAACACACAAGGAGGAAAGCATTAACTATGTAATTTAAGATTCTAATAACTATCATGGTTAGTTACGTCCTGAACGATGTTCATTATATTAATAATAATAATTGCATATATGGTATACTACTACTGCATAACCTTTCTCCGCTTACTAATAATAATATTCTTATAGCTTTTTAAATTCTTCAACGCCTTTATTTCCTCAACAGAAAGATTACTGTAGTTTCTCCCTCCCGCATTAACAGCAGAATCTTTTTCTTCAATTTGGAGCAATACACTACTATAGCCGGATCTATACCTCACTCTTTTAGTTTGGGACCAGGGCGGTAGCTAGACGCAATAATTAGGTGCGGGGTGTATGTTCAAATATATGAATATATGAATATACACCCACCTCCCCATATATTCATATATTCGTGTCCATGCATATTCATATATTCGTGTTTTGCCCGACGGATTTCTTCTGAAAGCGATTATTAATTTTTTACGGTATGTGAGCATACCGAATATATGAATTTATTTTTTATCAGTGAAAATGAAGCAATCTGATTGGCTGAGAGCCTTTCAGAGCGGGCCGGTTTTTTGCATCCGGCCCGCTCTGAAACGCAACTGCCCGCTGTGAAATGCACTGCCCGCTCTGGCTTTCGCGACAAAAACTGAGGAGTGAAACAATTTTTTAAAAGAAAAAATCTGCCAAAAACGTTTGAAAAACATAGCCTAACGATAGTCAGAATACAATAATGAATTGCATCAAGCCCTAAAGGCTTCATACTAAGCACGATGTTCACCAGAATTGACAATATTTTGATAGAAATGCGACTGAAAGTCGGAAAATTATTCGACATGTATAAAAGTTACGTCGAGAAAACTACATATTTTTTAAATGCTCATGTATTCGGCCACTTAAAAGCGAAAAAATTACAGCTTAAACAGTTATTGTAAAATAAATGTTTTCCCATTTAAAAAAGTTTTATTTGCAGCAGTGAAAACAAGTCACGAATATATTCTTTACCCATTTGTGTCATACATTCTTCACTGATATAAATGTTGTAAACAAAGTAAAAGTTTGTGTTTAAATTAAAAACAATTTTTTCAAGCATATTATCGTGAAACGACAAGAAAAAATACAAAAATATAAAAACAACATACCCTTTTCATTGACCTTTTAGTAGAAAAACGTTGATTAAATCGAAACAGATTCATTTTTATATGTCTTTGATCTGATCTGAACATGAACTTGTTGTTGTCAGGAGCAACTGATTTTGCCAAAGCCAAAACGCCAGGCATAAAAGTTTTTATTCCAAAGCTTCTCTTCTATACCATATTCATGAAAAAACGTGTACATTTTTACTGAAACTATACGTCTTTTTGTGTGTTTCTTGCCAGTTTTCTCGAGTTTTCGTATCTTGTTTTATATCATTCAACTTCTTAAATTTCAATTTTTGTCAGCCTTGCTTTGAAAATACACAACTGCACTGATCTCAAATTAGTTCGCAAGCAACACTGGAATTTTAATCAATTTAATTTTTACATCTGATAAAAAATAAACACGTTATTTACCGGCAGCGTCGGTCCGGATGAGAAAAACTGTGCCCTCGGTCTTGAAAACGTCCCTCGCCCTTCGGGCTCGGGCCGTTTTCAAGACCTCGGGCACAGTTTTTCTCATCCGGACCTCGCAGCCGGTAAATAACATATATATACACCACCCCTATTATCGGTCTAGCTACAGCCTTGTTTAGGACAAAAAGGATTACTGTATTGAGGCATATAGGCACCTTAACGATTTATAATGGTAATTGAACTGAGTGGAGTGCCAATTTGGGCTGAAATCAAACGCGTGATTACAAAATCGCACGATCGCGAAGTAGGAGTGCGATTTGTAATCACAAGTTTGATTTCAGTGCAAAATTGCACGTCACGAAGTTCAATTTCCAATTTATTATATTCATTTTGAAATCTGAAATATTTTAGTAAACCGGAAACGTTTTTGTTTGCAAAAGACACATCTCCGGTACCTTATAGCATAGCAACAATAAGCAAACAAGATAAACTCAGTTTTGTTAAATTGCAGTTTATCAATAATACGTTCAAAATACTGAAAAAATGTCAAAGAAATGAAGACATTTATAAAGAACAATAGACAACACAAGCAAGTTTTCACATTTTGTAGTTTTTACGAGGGATTTGAAAGAGATTTGGTACAGTTTTGTGCGTTTAAAATTGGAAATACGATAGGCGAATTTACCTTTGTTCTCCCTGCATGACGCTTTAAATTTGCTTTTGTTTGGCATTTTTCCCCCTTACTATTTGTAAAATTTCAGAAAAAAAATGTTTTCAATTCTTTGACAGTTTATTGTAGCTATCCATATTTATTTGTTTTTATGTACAAAAATTGGTTATAGGCACTCTTATAGGAGTATTATTCGGCATGACACATGTCAATTTTTTTGTTTTTGTTCATTTGCCATCACATTTTTCCTAACATTGATTGGCTGTTTGAATCCGATGATTAAATATGATTGGTTGGCTGAGGTCAACATTCTAATGTGATTGGTGGAAAGAAGGTACGATTTCATCACGAATCGCACTGCTAGGAGTGCGATTCGTGCTCAAATCGCACTCCTGTAATCAATCAGATTGCAGGAAACACTATTGATTTCAAAAGTAATTTATATAAAATATACTATTTAAAGCCGAGCGTTTTATATCTGATAAAACGCAACAACGAGTATTTTGATATAATCATACTAATTAATAACGATATAACGATATAATCATACTAATTAGGATGAACAATTATATAAAGAATACTAATGAAGGTGAGTTTATCAGATATAAAGTCACTCCACGTGACATATTATGGCTGACATGATTTGCCACAAGGTTTATGAATTATTAATGAGTATTTTAAGGTTATTAAATCGCAATCAGAACGTTGTTATAGTATTTCTTACATATTTAACCCACTGCTTTTATAACTGATCAAATACACTCTACCCTCCAAGTTACAATCGAGGCGATAGTTAATGCAGAAAGACGGTCCAAACCCAAGGTTTAAGCTTGCAAGGATCCAAAAAACGGTCCCCGAAATACTCCATAAATTGATTAGCAAACCCAGGAGCAAATTTAGTCCCAATAACCGTTCCCAATTTTTGTCGAAACTTATATTCTGCTCAAATTCAAAAATATCATTTTCCAAAACCAATTTGGCATGTAAGACCAAATCTTCGACGGGCATGTTATCTTCTGCCTTATTTATTGCTAATCGTAGAGCCCAAATCCTTCGCTGTGTGGTATGTGTATGAGGATATAATCTAACTACATCCATAGTGCACAAAATTGCAGTCGACAGAATACGACCTCAGTCTTCCAAGCGTTGCAAAAAAGTGTTCTATCCTTTATTACAGACGACATACTTTCCACCAATGATTACATACAAAAATCCAGAAACTCCGACATTCGTTTTGTAGACGTACCACAGCTAGATATAGCGGGGTCTACCTGGCACATTTTCAAGCCGCTTGTGAATTTTAGGCAATAAATAAAATCTACACAAACGGGGTCTCGGCGCAACGAGGTATTCTAAGTTTCTACTCGAAATATAATTTTTATAAAACAATGGTTTAAATGTTTGTTTAACTCGATCTGAAACATCATTGAAATGATATTCCTGAAGTCTCTCTTAAACAACCATAAAGTTCACTAATAAATATGGGGCGGGAGCAGGGAAATATTTGCGGGCAACAATTGTATGTCCATTTTTAGGGGGGGGGGGGACATTCAGGTCTAAGTGATTTTTTAGCGCAGGTTATTGACGTGACGGACGTTAATGCTCCCACTGAGAAAGAGGGCTTTTGGATTTAAAAACTTAATAGTTATGTGCCATTTAAGCTTAATTTAAGGGAAGAAGTTTAATATATATATATATATATATA